AGATTTCGGTGTTTCTCAAATTTTTTAAACTGGTAAAGTTTTGTACTAATTTTTACAAAATTGTACATTTTCATGAAGTTACTACTTGCCATAATTTCTTGATTTGAGAACATTGTAATTTGTGGTACTATTTCGTAGATATTTTTACAAAAAAATTAATGTTTCAACGAAGATATAAAAATTTCTACAAATTTCTATTTCAAATAAATTCAATTCAAAGGCAAAATCATATTTTTGGGTGCCTATCGGTATGTGAACGGTCTTGGGGAGGAAAGGAAGAGAAAACTAAATTACAGAGCAGAAAAAGGCAGAAATTAAAGTACGAAATTAACAAAGTTCAACTTACTTTAGCATGTATTAAGTAATTGGCTGTGAGGAACCGTGGCTTGATTGTAGGAGGAAATATTTTTAAAATCGATACCGAACTAAAATTAGATCGGATTTTATATCGTGTAGTTTAGTTATGTGATTTGTGGAAAAATTTATAATCAGATTTATAAAAATTTTAAACGCGGAATTATATCAAGCGGCTTCAAGCGATTAATTTAATAGAAGAAATGAACAACGTTTCACAAGCAGCGGCGTATTTCGCGCGATCACCGAAATCGCATTAATTGAATCAACGTTGCGAGAAATGCTCATGTAGATTCCAAGAGTTTTCGCTTTCCATCTGTTTGCAACCATTCATGTAAATTGCCGACGTTTTACGATTGATATACAGGTTTCAAGTGAATGCGTAAAAGGTCGGTCATTTCGTCACGCGGCAAGGATTTCAATTTGCGAAACGGATGTAAAGCCGCATGTGTTTCGGACACAATTGTGACGTAACAGCAGCACGTGTATTCTAAAAGGAAGTTACGGTGACCCTAAGGGTAGGGTAGAAACGCAATTTAAAAAGGCAATTTCTTTTCATCTTGATTTTCCTTTAAACTTAAGAAAAGAAGTTTTCTATTATTTACCACCGCAAAGAACAGCTCGGCGGCAATCGCTTGCACCGAAAAAGCGTGTTTTCCTGTAACTTTCGTACACGTGCTTGCGCTCCTCTCTGCTGTTCAAAAGTGTTATTGAAATACCACATAATAACACTTGAAAAGTAACATAAAACAAAATTTCGCGCACAAAAGTGCAAGCTGTGCACGCACGTCGTCTCGGGATACGTTTGATGACTATGCATTTCCAGAGGCAAATTCCGTGGGGCGTTATAAAATGCCGTGAGATGTGTGCGATACACGAGTTTTGTGTGATACATTGGGAATCCACCGAGCAGAAATATAGGGACATCTTGGGTGGGATTAAGGGAGCGGTCGTGGAAAATCGTTTTACCCAACACGGTCGAAAAGAAGGAAAGTCTTGAGGGGGGGGGGGAAGGACATAAGCAGCACGACAAAGCAGCAACAATTACTTTATTTGGACTTTGCGGCCGTCTTTAAGAACCGCTCTCTTCTAATGTCTGGCTCCTCTTTGTGCACTATGGCTTCTGTGTTCGGCGATTCAACGGGCGTGAAAACTGTCAGTATAAAAGAGGTGTCCCACGGTGTCGATTCAATTTCAGAATTGATATCTTTTAACCCAATTGCTCCGGATAGTTCTTTGGGGATCTGCCGAATTCTATGGCAGTAACTATGGCAGTAGGTGGCCTCGGTTTTAAAACTTTCAACTTTCTCCGTACACATTTTAGCACAATGAGGCTTGGCTGATAAGTGAAGTTTCCAATCCTCTAAGTTTCAGGCGAGATAGCATAATTAAACTGGTTGAAAAAGGAAATCAATTTATCTCCCTCTAAAGTAACAATTGTGTTTTTCACGTAGTTGCCATTTAATGCTATATTTTTACATCGCGCTTATAACTGCAAATCAATGACTATTCACTGTTTTCAGTGATAATCTACTGATTGACTTTCAGAGAGTGCAGCGATAGGGATTGTCTTACCAAGATTAGCTTTTACAAGACGTCTTCACTAATGGTGTGTAAATGTAAAAGTGTTACAGCCTCGAAATAATGATTTAATATAAAGAAACTTTGTCTGCTTGGCATGCGTGTGTCATATACATATTCAAAACTGAAAAAATTTTCGAATGCTTACGAAGTGACACTCGTGGAAAGGAACGCCGTTCACAATGCGATATTAACGCGAGGATACCAGGCTCGTTTCACATGGAAATTGACGAAAAAAAAGGAACCCGCTTAACCGATTTTCACGGCGCCGCGAACGAAATCCGTATTTCTCGAAGAGAAGTATTCGGGGGGAGCACTCCGGGGCGCGGAGAGGACGTTGAAGGATCGCCCTCGTACGCTATCGACGCCCTGCTTTGCACTTGAATAACCCAATTTCGGGATGGCGCAGCCTCTTCGGGGCATCCGCCAGGCTGCGTCCGCAAACAATCCATTCGACGAAGATTTACGAGCTGAATTTTATCGCGCGCGGCTTCGCATTCTTCGCCAGTTACATACGTGCCCGCCGTGGAAACAACCTTAATGCGGTCGTACTTCCTCGCACTTTGTTCCGAAGATTCGTAAAAGAAAGATCGTGGATGAAAATGTGGGGCTCTCTTGAGCGCGGGAGACGTTTAAGGAGTTTCTTGAAAGGCGTGGCATTCGTCACGGGCGTATCCCTCGGACGCGATCGTAATACAGCGCGTAAAAGTATCGATCGCATTTTTCTTGGTCATATTTCTTAAGGGGATGCTGGAGTGACGGCTGTGAACTCCGGCGGGATAGTTTGAGAATTTCAAAGACATATTGCGATACGAATTAGACCTCAAACCTCAATGTTTTTTATATGAAAATGTTCTACTGTGCAGTCCACACACCGCTCTGGTATCATTTTGTACGTAAAAGCCATTAATAAGATTTACAAACGCAAAAACTGTATGCGACTCTGTCGGTAAATCAAACCACTCCAGCATCCCCTTAAGGTCCAAGTTCTAGCATCGTGAACACAGGCCTCCACGAACGTGTATCTCACCTGGGAATTATTTCAATTTCGGATAACGTAATAACGTAATAACGTAAGGTAATTGCATAAGGCCGTAGGTTAACGATTAGGAATGCAGGATGTGTTTACCATAATTCATGCTTTATCGCTTAATTATACGGACGGTCGAGCTTGGCCGCGGCCACGGCGGGAGGGAAACGAATTTGTGAAATGAATTTCACGGCGCGGTAACGAGATTTTTCGTTAAGAGAGGACGCGGGGCCCGCCTAGGCTGTGTGGCGGTTGTGTGAAAAATCGGCCGGTATCGGGATTAGGAGAGAATAATGGGTTCACCCTACTTTGCACCTGAATGACCCAATTTCGGCGCTATTGCGGCGCGTCTCTCGTACGTGCGCGTTCGCGAGAAAGCGATTCCATCTACGGGCCCATACGGTGCTCCACGCTCCTTTGCAAATGAATGGGAGAGCCGCAGCGCGCGACACTCTCGAGAGTTTCGTGATTTGCCCCGGACGGGACAATCTCGTTGACTTTTTCTTCACGTTCCCTCATTGTGAATCACCCATGCGAGCGTGCGTGGCTTACGGCTCTCATCACAATGCAATTATGCGGGTCGTTCGGTCGCGCAAGATTCTGGCAAGAGATTTCGAGGGAGGATGCGCCCGGTTTCGAGAACCCCGAGCGTAAACGAACCGTTTACAAGCTCGTCTTTTCATCGTCTAACTTTCCGACCTAGTACTTCAAAAAGCCACTCAAATTTTTCAACGTCGCCAGAATACGGTCGACCCTTACGTAATGCTTTCATTCGCCTATGTTTATATGAAATGTTTTATAAAATGTTTAAAAGTGTACTCTCTGAAAGCCAATCGGTGGATTATTACTGAGAGCAGTGAATATTCACTGGTTTACAGTTAATTAACTGACTGACTTTTAGAGAGTATTATTTGTCGACTAATGAAAAAGTACATATACTATATTTCGCATAATGAAAAAGTACGTGTATTATATTTCGCGTAAGCGGGATGGCAAAGATATATTTTTTTCGCAGAAAGTCTGAAAAATGTAGTGTAATTTATTGAGCGCGGCATTGTGTCGCTTGCAAAAAGCAAACAAATAGATCTGAGAGCTACAATATTAAACGCGGTAGGAGTCTTTATTGTATCGCGAAAATAAGTGTGTAAGCGTGACATCGAGGTGGACACGAAGTCCGTTTTCAGGATAAACGTCGCAGTGATACAAATGCCGTTTCATTTTTTAGTAGCCACATGAGCCGGCTGGATCATTTATCAAAGGAGGGATTATTCGCGCTAGAGAGTGACCGTACGCTGTCGGAGATCGCAGATCTCTCCGTAAAATAAGACGAGACAATGCTGCCCTTTTTTTCCAAAGTGACTTCGGTTGATAAAAATCTGCAATTAAGTCTCGCATTGTGTGGAATTAAATTTGTATTCCGTATAATGTAATTGTAAATGCAAATGATCCCCGAAATTCTCTTCGTACATTATGAATTATGTTAAAATATTATTCAGCGTTTATTATAACGAAAGTGAGATGTGTCTACCGTATTGCTATATCAAATAAGTTACCGGGAAATTTCTTCATTTTACGACAACCACGTGAAGTTTCCTTTTACAAAAACAAGGTAGTCTAACTTCACATTTAGTCTTTTTTTACCGTACGCATGTGTGTACATATTTTAAATTCCGAAATAATGTAAAACGTCAATATATATTTCTGATAAAACGATAAGTATGCAAATTCAATTATATCTTGTGACTCAAGAATATGTCCGTATGATGGTCTGCAACATACGACATGGCTTACGATTATTATTGACGTTGAAAGAAATATAGAAAGTATAAAAAAAAGCGTTATCTAAATGGTATGTAACCTATTCTACATTTTTAAATAACGTGTATATTAAATTAATTTCAATTAACACTGATTTTCCTGATAACTTTTAACAAAAGTTTCTAATTGTTAGGAAATTGTGGCTAGACGTTGCCTCGCGTCAGAGCGTATCTCTGACAATGTATATCTTTTCGAATGTAATATTTTGCCTTTTCAGGAACCTCCGTGCAGGATTTGCACTCACCTTATTCCGCCAGCCGCTTTCAATCCACGCACTTTGGAAAGCCGTTATAAATCGTCTGTCACGAGACGAAGAGAGTGCTGCAACCCAAGGAGATGTAACACGAAAGTTGGTACGGATTTGAAATACGAATTTAATTCACGTTCCTACAATGTCGATCGTGTTGTAAACAAAATTCAAGAACCGAAGAGAAATGTTCGGGATTTCGATAAACCAAAATGTCACGACGAGACGGTAATTTATCAACAACAAATACATTAGACAAACATGATAAATGTGAGTGGATATTTTGGGTTATATCTTATACATTATACATGGTGGCATCTCTTTTCAAAATTCAGAACAGCATGCAACAGAAAACTTCGTTGGAATTACCACCAGGAGTCAGAATTAATGAACTGAAAGATGCACGTCATGCAGTAATGGTGTGCTTACGGGAAATCGAAAAAATAAAGACGTTCTTAGAAGATGAAAACTCCTGGTGGAAAATTCTAAAAGGACGTTCTGTCAATTGTTGTCAACAAAAGTTGCCACACCTGCATGGAGTCTTAGATGGATCATCAGTCACTTTAATGTTGCTTGAGGAAGGCAACGATGAGGTAACGATCCCTCCTAATGTTTTCTTTTGTAAATTTAAAATGTGATAAAGCTCATTATTTGTAAATTAATAATATATAGCAAAAATTACTAATGCAATTTAACGAAATAAAGTACAAATCTGCTAACAGTTTGTATGTTTTGGTAGGTTCCACGTCGTTTTGTGACATCAGTGCCGAAAGAAAAAAGCAATGCCATCGGTTCCAGATTCGGGACTTCTTCAAGAGAATTGATGAATGAAGCAGAGGGAACCGAGCAGTACACGAATCATCAAACAGACTACGCGGATCCTTACACGATTCCACATTACAGTCTCGACATGAAATCAGCACTGATTGAAGTTACGAGGTAAATTTGTGCCTTTAAAATAATTGCATAACTGTTTTGACTCACATCTTGATATTATTAATTGTAATATAGAATAATTACTTTTATTAATTACTTTGTCATACTTTGAACAAGATTCGAAATATGTGTGTGGAATCCATTAAATTATCATATGCACAAATGTAAAACTATTTTGTAAAAATTATCTTTTTAATACGGATAGCCGCGAACCGAGTCAACGATACGTTACAAGAACTGTTACGAGCGAACAGAGTATTGATGCTTCCGACATTCGTATAGAAGCGCAAGAAGATAGAAATGATGAGCAGATAATGTCACAGAGACCGCATAGATCCAGAGAAACACGTGACAACGTACAGTATGAGGATAGAGAGAACAGGATCGATAGATCAAATAGTAAAACGCAGAAACAATTTTTATACATATTATACCTATCTGTTTACGTTGTTAGTTTATATTTATTTATTATATATAAAGTTAACAAGTGAATAAAACTAATGAAACATTGTTAGCAACATTATTCTAGATCAGAGTTAAATCTTTAACGTGTAACTTTTAGTTGTGTCACCGAGAGAAATACGATACGATCAGAACGCCCAGATGTTTGAAGATGCACTACAGCCCCAAGAGACATCAAATACCGGAAGCAGAAAGCACATCACAAACGACTTTGAATCAAACGTCGATTTAAACACGGTATAAAACTCATTTGTAACTTTTATTTTTCCAAATACGTAGGTACGTGTATCGATTCCATTAATGCTCTTTAATATATTACATAGATCAATTCAATTTTTATTCTCTAGAAGATTCCATCTAGAAATGTGTCAAGTCATAAGCCAAGAACAAAGGCGATCATTGAAAAAAGCGTTGGTTGTTTTAAAAAAAGACTTCCGACGAAAATCTCAAAGACCAGAAATTAATATTTAATATTCGAAGATGTAGGTGAATCTTATATATCAATTTGTACTAATATTTAAAATTTAAAAAGAAGTGAAATTTTTATGAAATAGTTAAAAAAAAGTTGTAACTAACACACAAAGTGACTTGTAACTTGTAATTACTTGATGTTATCAGACACTGCGAAATATATCGATTATACTTGAATCGAGTTTCGCAACATTCAACTTTCAAATTTTAGTCTGTTGACTTCTTGTCTTACAGAGTCTTACGTTTACAGAGTGACTTAACTGTAATAAAAATATTCCATAATTTCGACCGTATATCACAGAATTGTTAGGTTCTGCAGAAATCTCAGGAAAAGGTTTCGGAACATATGCCCGCGATCTTCGAATAATGATAATGAGGTTGGATCAGGCTATTGTTTGTCTGTGCAATTACCAATTATTTATTATAATTATAACCGCTTATTTATTTAAGCGGTATACAAATATAAAAAAGAGAGTACAAATTTATATTCTAAAACGCACGAATTTAGACGTACGAAATGAAGAAGGTCCTTATAATAGCGAGGAGTCCAGGTTTTAGTATTGAAGATGAATTAAAAATGGGCTCGACAACCATCGTGATTCTTCGCGAATACGCGATAATGAGATCTCCGCTTTCCACTCCGAGTACTTCGTTTAAAAGTACCAGTTAGACATAAAATTGAACTTTACGAATAACTTCTCGATTATATATAAATTGAATAGTACGTAGCAGTAGTTATAAGACATTTTTCATTGATAAATGATAGGTCAAAAGCTCTAAAAAATGATGCGTTGAAGAAGCAAAAGAATCGGGCGACTGAACGAAGTTTTGTTTTTCGAAATTAACGAACAAGCCGGAGGAAGATTAATAATAAAATTTAGAAAAACATTGTGAAATTTAAAATGGAAGAGAAAGATGAAGAATCGGCATCTTTCGAGGGGTCTGCTTGTATCTTAACTTTTGAGTCATTTGAAGTATCTTGGAAGAAGACCGAAAGTACATTAACATTTAACAAGCAACCGTTAAAATCCGCAGGCGGAATGAAATCAGTCTCCTCTAAAAGAGGATGTTCAAAATTGTGCACAGAGTATAGAAAAACCAGCTCGAATGGGTACATATGATGTTTGTCTGATAACTTTACTGAGCATTTTAATGCTTAACCAATATTTCTTTTGAGAATTTGATAATTTTAACGGATCAAAAAGTCAGTTAAATTAAGTTTAAATTAATCTACGTGTTAATCAATTGTACATGTAATATTAATCAAATACATGTTCAACATTTGATGAATAGTTATTAATTGTTAGTTAAACATGCGACCACGTATTCGCTTATAAGTATTGTAATATAAGGAACGGCGTGGTGACGTGTCAGAGAAACGCGTGCGTGTATAAACCCAAAGCATTAATGAACACTTCTCTACATAGAAACTATTTTCACACATTCTGCTCGAGGACGGTCTGGCCGTACTCTAATGTCAATTATACACTTTACATATATTTCAGACCTCAAACGTCTGACTGTAAACCACAAGCGTTGCGTGAATCATCATATCGTGAAAAGAAGCCCGAGACAAAGTCCGCGGGAGAAATGCCACTGTCTGACCACCTGAAAATAAAAATGAAAGAAACGTGGAGGAAGTTGAAGGTCCTTTTTGTGTTTCTCATCTCCGTCGCCGGAACATTTTTGCACAGTTGAGAACTCTGAATAGATAATTTCCAACAGAGTACCTTACCGTTTTTTAAGAAGACTACAAGTCAGGCTAAAAAAAAAGTGAGATCTTTGTACGGCAGCCTCAGGGCTAGACGGGCGTTGGGATTCAAGTGCGATCTGAAAAAATGCGACAGCGCTTTAACGGATTGCAGCGCGGGAGCTTGTAGGGATAAAAGCATGATTTTCGGCGAGCCTAGTCATCCGTGCGGCTCGAAAACGGCTGACTCTAGCGTCAGTTATTCTAGCGATATTTCGACAGTGTCGAGTGCAAGTGAGGACAGGTTTTAAATTTATCGTGATATCGAGTTTGCTGCTTACTCTATGCTCAGGCGCTAACTTCTCATAAATTCCATCTCTCAAAAACTCCTTAAACATAACTCGAACATTACTTCGAACGTTGCTTCACCGACCATTTCGGAAGGGTAGAACGGGAAAAGAGATAGACAATTCAGGATTGTTCTTTGATTTACGCAGGCATTAAGTAACGGCATATTACCGCCTAGGTGTACAGCAGGCAGATTGACTTTTATTGCTTTATAGCGCTTGTAAGAGTCGCGCGATATTCCAAGCCGCACGTGTAATCTGGAATGTAAAGAGCTCGTTATTACGGTGACGTTATTCACGTTCAGACTTTCAACTGACCACGAGACCACACGTTGACAGGCGGACATGACTGCGACATTTTCTATGAACGAGAGTTATTGCTACGTTGATTTTTTTTGACATGCAATAACAAATTTCAATTGTATCCAACGAAGCACGTAACTTATTGCCTACCGTCATATTCCTTGTAAATTCTTGTGTCGCTATCCAACGACAAATGGCAGACCAAAAATTCTATATAACATCGTACTTTCAAGAAACTGATTTGATAAAAGAGCATACGGCAGTACTGTAGTTAAATCAGCTGCTGTGCAAAAATATGATTTATTTTCAAGAAACCTTTATTTAAATATGATTGACTTACGTCATAGTTAAGTTGGAAGAAAATTTGCGAGTTATCTCAATTTAATTAATCTTTTGGGGGGAAAATTTACTCCTGTCTATTATATTTTTAAAAAATTCCTAATAAAAAAGAGTATTCAAACGTCTATCTTCGTAATCGAGGAAGATGTGACTCATGCGCGATCTGTCCGCCCAAATCGAGATCCCTCCGCTCTCACCCGCGCGGATCGCATAAATCGCGTGTTTTCCTTCTTATTGGCTGATTGAATAATACATGTAACCGAATAATATTAAACCGGCTGAGCGGGACACGCAAGCTCCATGACGCCTGTCATGTCGGGCGGGTCATGCGTCAGCATTTTGACGAGTTGTTTAGGTCGATCAATTTATCGCTTAAGTCACACACGGAATGGTGGTTGCGCCTGTATTTGTCGATGCAGAATTAACGACGCGATGTGAGATAAGGCCGCGGATTTATGAACGCTGTCCACTATCAATTCATCATTTTATGTCTATTACACGTCCGACTTAACGCTAGGCCATTCGGCACGTCACGCTCGTAATTATTATTTACATTATCGCTTGTATTTCTGAAATGGAAGATACCTCAGACAATGGTCACTCAATGCGACAGGGATTCGTTGCGCGGGGAAAATTTCCCGTAATCTTCCAAATTCGCTCAGTTATTTGAAAAGTAACAGACGCTCTGCCGACGCGTCTCTCCCGTCGTTATGGCATTTTTTCGCGGAATGAGACATTATAGTTGAACCGTGCGTACAGCCTCTGATGATCGTCGACATCCGTAAACGCATCGCGAGAAATTACGGTACAAGCGAGACGTCAAAGCACTGAGTAATATACAATTTCCATTACGCTCGCATTTTTTTGCGAAACGCACTTTTTGCGAAGACCTCCTGGAGGGATCCCCGGCGCCAAGTACCGCGCATGGGGATGCGTCCACGGAGAAGACCTCCGCGTCTCGTATTAACCGCGCGCAATTTCGCGACCAAGTGTACCAAAAATATTATTATTTCGTTGCGCATGAACGGCGGAGAAAAGGCATTAATGACAGAGTATTACGCGCGGCCGAGCGCAAAAATCGCCGCTAAATCACCGGCCGGCCGTCTATAATCTCGCCTATTCAGCGTAATTTATTACGCATTGATATTTACAATCCTTTAAGGTTAATATCTCTCTCCGCGTCACGACGATTGCCACGCGAGTCGCTGGTAATGCGAAACCTCTCGTTCGAGAGCCGATGATGATCCCCGAGATTGCATATTTAACGCGCGACCAACAAATTCACCTTCCTAGCGCCCCATTATACGACATTTGCGAATCAATCAAGACAAGTGGGCGGCGAATTTACATCTAATTATGGTGCACGTGGATATACCCGAGGGGCACATTACACGTTGCTATTTCTTTGATCTCTTGCGAAACGACCGAGCATTGTACGTTGTGCGTTACTTAATAATGAAATCACTCATATTTAACCGAAGGTTATTATCAATAGTATCGAGTTAAGAATAGTCGCTCCTAAAGGAGCCACTCCTGTGGTCCTTTTTCACTCGCCACAGATTACAAGAGCTTACACGCATTTTCTCTTCGAGTTTACCTTGGTAGTCATGTAATTGCGAGACAACACGGCATTTCGAAGAATTTTATGAAAGTTTTTTGAAACGTTACCATACATTTTATTTGTACAATGTATGATACTGTCTAAAAGTCAATCAGTAATTAAATATTTCCAATACTTTTAGTGTTATCGCCGATTTCGAGTTTTCATTTTGTAAAGTTAGCATCCCCAAGTTTCAAATTTAACTTTTTTAGGTGAATTATCACTGAAAACAGTGAATAGCCAACTTCTGTGAAGTTGGCACCTCATGTCTCAAAAAATCTTTTTTTTCAGTTCTAAATGCACCCCGAAGAGTTCTAGAGTTCCTTATCAATTTTAAAAATAGTTCTGGCGAATTAACCTAAAAAAGTTAAATTTGAAACTTGGGGATGCTAACTTTACAAAATGAAAACTCGAAATCGGCGATAACACTAAAAGTATTGGAAATATTTAATTTTGCCATTAGGATATCCTTTAGAACTCATGAGGGGCTACCCAGAACTTCCAACAGAACTGTTGGAACTGTTAAAAAATTTTCCTTCCTTTTTTCTCCTTCGAAAATTTTCTAAGTCCCGAAGGAGAAAATTTTTTTAACAGTTCCGGCAGTTCTATTGGGAGTTCTGGGTAGCCCCTCAAGAGTTCTAAAGGATATCCTAATGGCAAAATTAAGTATTTCCAATACTTTTAGTGTTATCGCTGATTTCGAGTTTTCATTTT